AAAGAAGCTAAGAAGGTGGATATAATAATATATAATCCAATAGAAGCAGTAAAATTAGAGCCACAATTGCGTTATCTAGGAGATGCTACTCCACCTTTGGAATGGGTTGGTTTGCAAAGAGCAAAAGTACCTGGCTTTGTCCATACCACTATTACAATGAATTTAGATGAAATTATAAATCATATTACTAATAAATCATTTAAAGCAGCACAGGCTTTATTATAATATTTTGTATAACATACATTATATAATATATAGATTTAAATAAGTTTAATTTAATTGTAATATGGTTATTTGTAACAGTTTAATACAGCCAATAAACATCCCTTCTAGCATAATCAAATAAAAAATGACAGAAATTTAAAACTAAACTATAGGAATATTTTCCAAATGGGATTTATAAAACATTTACAATTTGATTTGTCTTTAGAGTGCCAAATTTAATTAAGGGTTTTCTCAAGCATCCACCTACGTAGAGTGATTGAAATAATGCACAATTTTATCTTGACAATTTATTACAACGATAGCTGTAATTTATTTAACTATCGTTACGTCAGTCGCTTAAACATTTATTGCAGTATCGAATTTTAAAATTAACTTAAGCCGCTATTAACTTTATCGATTATTATAGTATCAAATTTAGAATCAACTTAAGTTGCTTTTAAATTTCGTACGTATCAACTTGGGCTATATTTGGAATTCCATTCCAACTTGAGTGGAATCTACAATAATTCCGTTCTGAACTGTAACATATTTATAAGGAGTTAAAATAAAAATATTAAAAAAAAATTTTTATCCAATAAAAATGTTGCCAAAATAAAAATTCATGTTTATATTATTAAAATAAATTCCTGCGATAAATAGATTCTATAATCCAGAACAGACCCAAATGATATTACTTTTCTAATCGATAATCGTAGCCATATATTAAATTAAAATTCTACTAAGTCAATTAATATTTACCGGTATGCCTTAAATAAAGTTGATCGGGAAAATTTCATGTATATAGAATAACTTTTTATGAATTTACTTTCGCATATTACGTTTACACGAAAAAAAATTAAAATTTTTTCATATAAATAGCGACACTCATATGTTAATTAATATTCTAATACCTTTTAACCAACCAGAATTGGCCGTCAAGCAAAATTAAATATAATCAATATCGTAGCTATATATCAAAATCAAAATTTTACTAAATCAATTAATATTTATGCCTTAAGTAAAGCTGTTCGTGAAATTTTTATATAAATTGAATAACTTTGATTCACTTCCGCACCTTACAAAAGAAAACTCGAAAATTTAAATATAAGTCATATTTAAATTTTCGGGATTTTTTTTAGCGACACTCATATGTAAATGACCTTCTAAGGTCATTTGGGCCTTGAAATGACAAATGACTAGTCATTTGTCATTTGGGTCATTTCAGGTCATTTACCATCCCTGTTGTTAGGCAACTAGTGAGCTTAATATTATTTCTTTTCTGGGAGAGCTTAAAAATTACTACAGAGATTCCCGACGATAATAGGATTCAGATGGCCAACATTGAATGATCTTCGGGAATCCTCTCCGTTGTAAATTTAAACTCTTCACTGTAAATAAATGAATAATATCCTGCCTTACTGTTCATGTCTACCGTGTCCCACGCGATCTTACGTGACTGAGAACCAGGGACGTGTAATTCTGTGATTTGCTGTAATCAAAGAAAATCGCAAGCAGCATGTGGTTTTCTGCGATTTGCTTCGATTTGCTACGATTTGCTGCGATATATTTTTTATCTAGTAACTATAATCAATTATTATTAATAATAATAGTTTATTAGATTGAGCAAACATTGATTTTTCTTTAGTAACTTTAATTGTCCGGAGCGTAGCTGAGGACTCTTAATTTCTATGCAAATTGATACCCAAATTCCGATTTTGATGCATTATTGATCAGAATATCAAAAACGTAGCTTTGCAATTTCTGTCTGTCGCCATTGCATATTTGTGCAACACAACAAAATATCGCGTGATTGGAACCCTATTGGCTGGCGTAAAAAAAAAAACAAAATTATTTTATGCTTCGGACTTATATCGGTTTCCGATTCTTAGTAAATTATTATAGTATTTAATTAATAAATTAGTATTTTTGTTTAGTGAAGTATAATATATTGTACAAAAATTTATTTTTTTTCTAGTAACTATAATAAATTATTATAGTATTGGATAATAAAGTATAATAAATTAATATTTTTGTTTAGTAAAGCGTAATAGTTAATTAGATTGTGCGGAAATTTATATAAATGTGTGTGTTTTTTCTTTTTTAAGGCATATAATATTATCATAGGTTCAAAGTGAGTTACATTAGATACTCGTGCATTAGAATTCCAAGAGGATTTCATAAAAGACAATAATAAACCAATGTGTTGATTCTGTCACTATAGCGTTGATTATAATATTCGATCAACAATACCTTCACATATTAAATCAAACAACCATCAAAAAAATAAAACTGTAGCAGAACAGACAACTCGGATACGACAACAAACTCTTCCAACAGTTTTACAAGCTTCAGAGTTAAGAAAGAATGCTGTAACCTCACTTGTAAAAGCTTTTGTTGAAGCAAATATTCCTCTTGAAAAAGTTGACAAGCTTCGTGATTGGATTAGAGAAAATTTT